AACAACTTCTGCACCTTCCTCAGATACCGGCAATTTTCAGCCCTATACATGGTTCCTGCCCCCCTGTCATTATTACCGGTATATTGTTATACAGGTGCTGGCCAGTAAATTAGAATATCATCAAAAGGTTGAAAATATTTCAGTAATTCCATTCAAAACGTGAAACTTGTACATTATATTCATGCAATGCACACAGACCAATGTATTTCCGATGTTTATTACGTTTAATTTTGACATTTATAGGTGACAACCAATGAAAACATCAAATCTGGTATCTCAGAAAATTTGAATATTCTAAAGGCCAATGAAAAAATGTTTGTTTCTCTAATGTTGGCCAACTGAAAAGAATGAACATGAAAAGAATGTGCATGTATAGCACTCAATACTTAGTCGGGGCTCCTTTTGCCTCAATAACTGCAGTAATGCGGCGTGGCATGGACTCGATCAGTCTGTGGCACTGCTCAGGTGTTATGAGAGCCCAGGTTGCTCTGATAGTCGTCTTCAGCTCCGCTGCATTGTTGGGTCTAGCGTATTGCATCCTCCGCTTCACAATACCCCATAGATTTTCTATGGGGTTAAGGTCAGGCGAGTTTGCTGGCCAATCAAGGACAGGGATACCATGGTCCTTGAACCAGGTGCTGGTGGTTTTGGCACTGTGTGCAGGTGCCAAGTCCTGTTGAAAGGTGAAGTCTGCATCCCCATAAAGTTGGTCAGCAGCAGGAAGCATGAAGTGCTCTAAAACTTCCTGGTAGACGGCTGCATTGACCCTGGACCTCAGGAAACAGAGTGGGCCAACACCGGCAGATGACATGGCACCCCACACCATCACTGACGGTGGAAACTTTACACTGGACCTCATGCAACGTGGATTCTGTGCTTCTCCGCTCTTCCTCCAGACTCTGGGTCCTTGATTTCCAAAGGAAATGCAGAACTTGCTTTCATCAGAAAACATAACTTTGGACCACTCAGCATCAGTCCAGTCCTTTTTGTCCTTGGCCCAGGCGAGACGCTTCTTGCGCTGTTTCTTGTTCAAGAGTGGCTTGACACACGGAATGCGACGCCTGAATCCCATGTCTTTCATGAGTCTCCTCGTGGTGGTTCTTGAAGCGCTGACTCCAGCTGCAGTCCACTCTTTGTGGATCTCCCCCACATTTTTGAATGGGTTTGTCGTCACAATTCTCTGCAGGGTGCGGTTATCCCTAGAGCTTGTACACTTTTTTCTACCACATTTTTTCCGTCCCTTCGCCTGTCTGTTAATGTGCTTGGACACAGAGCTCTGCGAACAGCCAGCTTCTTTAGCAATCACCTTTTGTGTCTTGCCCTCCTTGTGCAAGGTGTCAATGATTGTCTTTTGGACAGCTGTTAAGTCAGAAGTCTTCCCCATGATTGTGGTGCCTTCAAAACAAGACTGAGGGACCTTTTAAAGGCCTTTGCAGGTGTTTTGAGTAAATCAGCTGATTAGAGTGGCAGCAGGTGTCTTCTATATTCAGCCTTTTCAGAATATTCTAATTTTTTGAGATACCAAATTTGGAGTTTTCATTAGATGTCACTTATGAATATCAAATTTAAATGTAATGAACATTGGAAATACATTGGTCTGTGTGCATTGCATGAATATAATGTACAAGTTTCACGTTTTGAATGGAATTACTGAAATATTTTCAACCTTTTGATGATATTCTAATTTACTGGCCAGCACCTGTATATTTAAATTAAAACTAAACATTATAATTATTATAATAAAGTAGACATTAAACAGTTCAGTTTAAACAAAAATCTTATTTAGAATAAAACAATTTCGTGTTTCAGGTTGAATAAGCTGAAGTCTGAAGCATTTTATACCTGACAGCGCCATCTAGAGGCTGATAAATGTATTGCAGCTTAAGCCGTTTTCACCGCGATATCAACGTTGCTCGTGCACCTCTAGCGTCCAACAGAGCTACAACACGCTGCTTTACAGATATTATTCTTACATTATGCTGTTTGTTCATTTAAAAGGAAACTAGGTGCATTAATCATAGTTTTAAATCCTTTCCATGAACAGCTATGTCCTAAAATGACCCTTTACAGATTAATGAAAAGTCACACAGCCCCCTCCACCCCAAAATATCGCATTTGCAACTTCAGAGTATCCGGACTGCTCCCCTGAAGTCTCTTAACGTCACACGGGGTGTCCCTCGTTGACGGGAAAATGCAGATTGATGCAGCACCGTCGCTCCCGGCCAAGGTCCTGTCGGCTAGCCGCTCAGAGTGCTCTGAATTGGAGACACGCTACAGCCTTTCCGAAAGGTCACGTGATTCCTCCTCTCAGGTCCGTAGCCATAATATTCACCAGGAAGTTTGTTAGTCAATATTAAAGTGGCTAGCCGTCATGCTAGCACTGAAGTCTGCTTCCAGCAAGTTCCCTGCATGTTTTAGATCACGGAAACAGCTGATTTGTTTGATTCAGTGATGAGTCACTCCTGTAGAAGCTAATGAGGGCTGAGGAGACTTTCCAGCTGTCAGACTAAAGCCTGGTTCACACTTCTCCGTCAGCTCCGCAAGGGACAGACACGCATGGACTGACGGAAGCGTTTTGCTCTCCTACTTCTCCGTCTCCTGGAGAGTGTTGCAAAGCAATTGCCCGCCAGGACAGCAGAGGGCGTAGCGCTGTTCTGTGGTATCCTGTCATGTATCGGTCCAAGATAGTGTGTGTATATTATGTTTTTTTGTATATAAGAGACTTTTTAACACGGACATATTTGTCTCTCATTCTTCCACCGCTTCATGCGCTCGCCACCTCTAAACCCACGTTTCCTGTCATTTCCGTCCACAAATAAAATGCTTGCTGCGCATCTTTTCACTCCTCCAGTCACGGGGGAATTAAACGTTAATATTTTTGGAGTTTTTTCGCGAGGTATTCTTCAAGCTTCTCCATGTCTGCCGCTAGTTATCCTCAGCTCTCTTTGCAATGGCGGCGCTGTAAACAACAGCGGCGTCCTGACCAATCACAAGCTTGCGTAATCCGTCTCGTTCGACGGATGTTTAAAAAAGTGGGCTTGGCTCCGTACGTACTTGCGTGCCCTACGCAAGGACGGATAATGGCGTTGCGTGTCTCCGCACTGACGCAGACGGAGAAGCATAAATCAGCCTTAAGGTGTTAAAAACACGACGGCACAGTGAAGAGGAGAGTTTCGGTTTGTTTTTATGACAGTGAACTAAAACGGACACTAGGCAGCGCTAAAAGCAACTGCAAAGTGTCCCTTTAAGAGTAAAGACTTACTTGTCCACAAGAAAGGTCACCGTATCTGCCTATGGGTCTACGTAGGTTCTCAAACACTGGCGCACGCTCTGGCAAACATCTTTACGTAAGCAGATGTCTGACGCTATTGGCTAATGCTTAACGGTGGTCAACTCAAATTGCACGAGGCTCTACGGGACGGGCTAAGCTAAACAAACCTAGGTTACTGCCTGCATTATATAACAGTACAACATTCTAACCCTAAAAAGAAATACCATGTAAGTCCTGAATGGGCGAACACTCCAGATTGTAGCTTTAAATCCTTCTGGTCCATTTCACCTTAGACTCGGCGAATTATTGATCACCAGTATGTTCACAAACACACAAGAGGCGCGGAACAGAGAACAGCTATTGGACACATAAGAGACGCAGCTAATTATGTGTAGAAGCTCTAATGTGTCTTCGGCTCTTTTGGCAGAACAGATAAAAATCAGCATCATGCAGGTTGTTAAGTTCAAGGCTTGTTGGGTATTTCTGGACATGTTTGTGCAAAACTGGCCTATTTAGACACAATTAGAAGCCAGAAGCAACATGATGGATGAAGCCAAAAGACTTTTAGTGGTCGGCTGTGGAATAGCTTTTAAGTCCCGCCCCCTTCATGGAAATAAACACAACCTCTATTTTATAGATAAATAAAAGCATGCATGAGAAAAGGTTTCAAGATGTTGATTTACATAGTTTTATCTCGCATGTTCGTGTGTTTATTACTAAATAATTATCCAATTGTGGTCAGATGAGTGGGCGGGGCTTCAAGATATAGTTCAAAACATGTATTTTTGGCTCCACTTTAAAAGAATAAGGAGCTTTGTCTTTCATGGACATTACAGACAGTGATTAGTATCTAATTACAAAACCGGTTGAATTTCACTGCAATAAATAAAGCATCAACGTTCTAACAAAAGCATTCCAATTCACACGAGACCTAAAACACACGCTGTTCCAATAGGAACATCAGCAACCCATAGCCCGCAGCAAAAAGCTTACGTTTCTCTGAATAGGTTGAGTTTTGATTCTAATTTTGAGCTATTTTCTGTCACATAATAACTTCTAGCCGTGAAAACGGCAGGAAAGTGAAGCTATTGCATATTTATGAGAATAAACTTGTTTATACGGTTGTTTTTAAAGCTATTCTAGAGATGAGGTCATAAAAACACACCGTAATATACTTTTCTTTCCCGTTTAGCCACATTTGCTGCACATCAACTTCCTATATTTCCCAGAGGTCCTGTACACCCATCCCGGTGGACCGATGTGATGGGAGACACAGATGTGGTGAGCTGATGTGTGCGTGTCGAAAACGCATGAGAGCAAATGGAAAAACACAAAAATGAAGCTCGCCTTCGCTTTAACTAAAACAGATTAGCTTGGTTTCCATTTCTGGCAGCAACGACTCCTGATTTTTGGAGTCAGCATCAAACAAATGCCATCCTTTGGGCTGATGCACTCACTTTTTAAATGATCTTGGAAGTAAACGAGATCAAATCAGCTTGTTTTGCGTCTTTTGGGGTGAAAATCTTGAGAAAAAAACAACACACCTCTCATTTAAACACCACGTGTGAGCTAAAGGGTGACTCAGAGACATAATGGCAGTTCCCACCACCCACACAGCTCTGCTTGGCGACTGGATTTAGTTAGAAACACTAAATGTAATCAAGCAAAACTGAAACCAACAGAAAGGCCTGAAAGCCGGATCTGCTTGTGAGAAGATGAGATCACTTGCCTGTTCTTCCATCTTCGAGAGATTTATGAGACTTCAAATCTGCAGGATGCAGGGAGGATGAGGAGGATGCAGCTTCAGGTGGAGGCTTCACCGCTGACAGCTGCAGAAAATAATAATAATAATGTTAATAATCACTAAGGCTGCTTCTTCGCTGTCCGTGGTCCTGAAACATGGACATCCCTGTCCTTCAAAAATAAAGGAAACGCGTCGTGTCTGAGCACGTTTAGAGAAGAAAGTGATAAAATGGTGCACCTACTTAACGTCGGACAAACTGGTCAAACTGGGAGGTCGTGTGTCCTTCCTCTGGCTTTTGTAAATAAAGGGAGTCCGAAATCCGCTCCAGCAGGTAGATGAAGGCACACCTACCTGTCGTGACTGAGGAACCCGGGCTGCAGCGGTCACAGTTTGCAGCACTGCCTCGAACACAGTCCAAAGGGGGGCTGCGAGGGAGACCGCACGTAACACGCAATAGTTATTATTGATTCCAGCCACTCAGAAGCCTCTACGCCACGCTGACGTTCCGCCTCCCATCGTTTGCGTGCAGAAATGCATGACTCCGCGAGGCCTCCTATTCAGGACGCATCCCTTTATACGGTTAGTTGGTCAGCTCACGTTAGTGGATTGTGCGCATGCGCAGTTCATTGGGTGGGGGTAGGGCGAGTCGCTAGGGCTCGAGGTTGTGATTGCACACCCCCACCCTGCCTGACTTCCCTTGCGTCCTCCATGATGCCCCTGGCATCATGACCTTCGCAGCTGCTGATGCTGCGGCCCGTTTCTAGGACAACCAGTCACGTGATGCAGCTCGGCGGAGGCTACTGCGGTCGTAAAATGACACCTTTAGATCTTCAGATGATCTGGTTTTGCTGAAAGCTTCAAAATGAGGCTAATTTAAATGAAAGTGATGTGATTAGTGCATCATCTCGTGATGTGTTCAGTCACATGATCACCTGTCAGGAAGTTGGTAAACATTCCTAATCACTGACGCTTTTATCTCCTACAGTTGATTAAATCAGTGGAAAACTTTACGTTTAGCTGCGGCAGCACCTGAAACCAAACGTTCCCTCACATTTATTATCCAAAGTGTTTAGAAGTTTTTCATCGATAATCTTTTATTAAACTATCACGCGCAACAAGAAAAATCCAGAAAGAAAACATTAAATTATGCAGCAATTTTATTACGTTTCAAGAACAAGAAGAAAACAGTGAACATTTCAATTTCAGTCAGTCTTTTTGTTCATTTGAGCCAAAAAAGGGATGTGTGTATGCAATGAATTATATTAATATTAGGGTAAGAATAAAAAAAGGTAATTATGTTTAACTTTGTATTTAAAGTAGTGGTAATCCCCCTCAGAGTCTTACTCCACCCACATTTCATATTTGAAAAATGCGGCCCAAAGAGGCGTTTCCTGTAAGACCGAGAAGGCGGAGCTACGACCGTGATTGACACTGAAATTTGAAGTCAGAGTTAAATAAACCAGGTGTGTCAGAGAAACATCACTTTTTCATTTCTTTGTTGGTGGCATTTAAAAAGAAACCCATTTAAAGCTTTAAATGTGGACAGAAAACATCAGGAATTCAAATCCTCCCGGCGAACGTTCCCTCCTCCAGCTGCTCGTCCCACTTCTGAACCTGGAAAACACAAGAAGTAAAATCAGAGAGGAGGTAGCTGTTGTCGCCTGTTCTGAGGGGTTATTTTAAATTAAACCTAAATAGGACTCATCTACAGAAGAATTGTAGAAATGTGGGATTCATCCATAGTGAGCTCTGGTGCGCCAGCTTCAGGAACCAGAACTGAGCCAGGTTGGCCGGATTAGAGCCTTATTTCACATGAAGGGACAGTGTGACGTAGATCTGTCAGGCCTGATTTATTCGTCTACATTGGTGACCAGATGTCCTGCATTTTCATTACTTTTCATGTGTCCCGCAAATTGAGACTCATGTCCCACATTATTGACAGTTTCCCGTTTCGAGTTTCAATCTTATAGAAGAAACTGTGGAAAAATCTGCCTGTTGCTGTCAATCAAACGGAGGCGGGATTTCAACGCAGATCCGGAGCGCGTGTGGAGCACGCCCGAAACACCAAAACACGCCAGTGAGCACGGAGGACAAAATGCTGTAAACTCGTGAATTCAACGTGTTCAGAGATACTCGACAGAGTATTTGTTGTTTCGGAGTCATTATTCATGTCTCGGCGCGGAGAATATATATATAAGATATAATTTTATATATATGTAACAGTGATGTTATGGTTAAAAGGCAAAATATATGTTTTCTTTTTTCTCATTACGTTGGACATTCACGTTGTCCCACATTGACTCACAGCGATGCAGGGGACTGTTCTGTTCTGGTCCTGCTGGACCTGACCGCAGCCTTTGACACTGTTGACCATCACCTGCTACTGGAGAGGCTGAGAGACTGGGTCGGCCTATCAGGATCTGCTCTGGAGTGGTTCTCCTCTTGTCTCTCTGAGAGCTCCTTTTCTGTGGCCGTCTCAAAGTTTAGGTCCTCCACCACCTCTCTTACCCATGGTGTCCCACAAGGTTCTGTGCTGGGGCCTCTGCTCTTCCTCCTCTATCTGCTTCCTCTTCAGCACATCCTGAGCTCCTTCAAAGGAATCTCCTACCATCTTTATGCAGATGACATCCAGCTGTACATCTCCTTTAAGCCCCATGAGATGTCTAAGCTGCAGCTGTTACACACCTGCTTAGACTCTATCAAAACCTGGATGGTGGGAGCTTTCTTCAGCTGAATGAAGATAAGACTGAGATCCTCATCTGTGCCCCAGACAAGCTGGTTCCCAAAGTCAGAGACTCTCTTGGTCAGCTTGCTTCTCACACCAAAACTTCTGTCAGGAATCTTGGCGTGACCTTTGACCCAGCTCTCACCCTGGATTCTCATGTCAGTTCTCTTGTTTGCTCTTCCTTCTTCCTTCTCAGGAACATTGCTAAGCTGAGTCCCATTCTGTCCCGCTCTGAACTTGAGACAGTTCTCCACACCTTCATCTCCTCACGCTTAGACTACTGTAACTCTCTTTTCACGTGTCTGAGCAGAACCTCCCTGAACCGTCTACAGGTGGTTCAGAACGCCTGTGCTCGGCTTCTGACCAAGTCCTCCAAACACACCCACATCACCCCGCTTCTCCTCCAGCTTCACTGGCTGCCAGTCAACTTCAGGGTTCATTTCAAGATCCCGGTTCTGGTCTATAGGGCCTTACATGGACAAGCACCATCTTACATTGGTGATCTTCTTAGTCCCTACACCCCCAGCAGGTCCCTGAGGTCCAGTGACCAAAGCCTACTGGTTGTGCAGCACCAGGCTAAAGGTCAAAGGTGACAGATCATTTGCTGGTGTGACCCCCCGACTCTGGACCTCTCTCCCCCTGAGCCTGAGATCAGTGGACTCAGTGGTCTCCTTTAAAAAGCAGCTGAAGACTCACCTGTTCAAGCTTTGGTGTGACCTTCATCACCTCTCCTTGTTCTGCTCTCCCCACCTATTCCACCTTCCTCAGGATCCACAGATTTCCCTCTTTCCTGTTCTCTCTCTCTCTTTAACATTTTCAATCACAATTGTCTATTTTTTGCTCATTTTAACTATATTTGTAATCATTTTCTAAATTATTTTTTATATTTTAACATTTTTTTTGTTTTTGTGAAGCGCCTCGTGATTTTTATCTTGAGAGGCGCTATAGAAAAGATCTTTTCTTCTTCCAAATATATAAACCCATTAGTGAACACATTATCTGGACCAGAATCATGAGTGTTATGGCGGCAGGACACCACAGAATAGCGCTACGCCCTCTGTTGTCCTGGCGGGGAATCGCTCTGCAACGCTCCGCTGTCTGCGCCAAAGTTTGCACGTGAAAACCTTTCCGACACTCCGGGGGCGTCTCTCCGCTGCGGAGCTCATGGAGAAGCATAACTCAGGCTTCCGGCTTTTCTCATCCTAGATGATCCTAGATCAGAAACTAATGCAGGAGATAGGTGTAGGAGACTATTTTCATGTTTAGCCTTCATGAAACACTCAGACTGACCCATTACTCAGAAATAATCATTAAAAACGGTTTCCCGGTGAACCACGCCTTTAAAATACATTTCTAGTGACTGAAATGGTTTGACTCCTTCCTCAGGAGCGTACCCAGCTCACGGGACAGAGGCTCTTGTACACCCTCCGGTACCACTCGCACGGAGCCGGGTCCTGGTTCTTGGCCTTCAGAGATTTGTTACATCGGTGGAAATCTGTCCAACAAACATAGAAACACATAATCTGTAATCTGGCCACATAAACATCAGTAATTTAAATGTTTTTTGAGCATTTAGGCCGTTTTTAACACAACCACATTCAGGTCAGAAGGTGTTTGAAAATAAAATAATCAAACATATGTTATTCATTAAGGAAACGTGTCTATCAGATTAAAACTATGTTTATTTTAATCCCTTACATGCTGTTTGTCACAGAATTATGTAATCCTCACCTCTGACCTTGGATGACTCTTTCTCTATTTGAGAACCAACAGTGAGATTTATTTATTTTCTAATCCCTTCCTTTATGTTACTCTTTTGTGGAGTTTTTCTAAATTTGATGGATTATGTAACAAATGCTGCCTGAATCCAGATTGGATTATTCCAGATTTACTTTAAATCCAAATATTTGTGCAACACATTGAAAGAAAATTAAAGCTCTTAATTTTTTCCACGTTTATTTGTTATGGCTGATGATTTGGGGCTGATGAGAAGAAAAATTATTCTAACTTTAATCCCGGAATTCTGACTTTGGGGATTAAAGTCAGAATAATTTTTCTTTTCTTTTCAGAAGCTCTAATCCTACGGAAGAAGATTAGGGCCGCTGACGTTAAATCTTAGAATTCTGAGAAGAAAAATGTGAATTTTCTGATTAATCTGATTAGGATATTCTGAGGAAAAAAAGTCAGAATTCTTGGATTAAAGTCAGAATTTCTGACTCTTAATTCTTAAAGGGTGAATTTGGAACACTGACACAACACTCTGGCGAACTCTGGTGTTCAGAGGTGGTATTGCAACAACAGGACTCATTTTCCAGCCGCTGGGATGTTTCTTACAACCTAAATGTTTTTCAACGAGGTAAGGTTTCTTCCTGAAGTCGCAGGTTCAGCCAGTGATCTGGTGTGATGTCATCGAAAGGCGCAGGGACCCCAAGCCGCCCAGAAGTAAACATGGAATCCCCCAAAGAGGCTAGACCCACACCTTGTGTACTGTAGAACTGATTTTTATGGTTATGTGGAAAGAAGCCCAATAGTTTTCAACAACTGGGCATCATTTTGTTCATTTTCAACAATGTTTAGATGATATTTCCAGAGACTAAAGGGAAAAACTACTGATTGCCTCTTTAAAGTTAAACTGAGGGGGAAAAGTCAGACTTCTTGGATTAAAGTCTGATTTTTAGATACATTTTAGGATTTTGTTTTCTTTGTTATTTTTTTCCAGTGGCCCTAATCCCTTCCTGATAATCTGTACATGATTTTATTATTAGCTCCTGTCATTCACCTTTGTTGTGGTTTTCCCCTTACCTAGTAACCTAAACGTGTCTAAAATAAAACGTTCACTAGTTTACTCCGATCATTTCCAGTAGATGCTCGTGTCTCGTAAGTGTATTTCTAAGACTAGAGGGACAAGTTTTAGGTGTAAACCCAAAGAGTTTAAAAACTAAAAAGACACCTTACGAATGATCTCAGATCTTCCGTTCGTACATGATAAACCGTCACCAAAGAGACGGCAAAGCTGAAGCTGCAGCGTGAGCTCCAACCTGCTCCGGTTTAAAAATGAATGAGAGAAGTTGGTGAGATCAGACGAATTCTGGTTTACCCAGATAGTTCTGGTAGCAGTTCCGCGTCTGGTTGGTGTTTGGGAACCGGGCGTCAAAAGGAGCCGTCCTGTAGTTCTTGATCTTCTCCTGGATCTCGTCAGACATTTTTAGCAGCTGGATTTCTGCAGGAAATCAACAAAAAAATTCAAATCATATTTTATTCTTAATTAGATGACATACAGTGAAATATTGTTAAAATAATCACCCACACACCTAGTAGGACAGGAGCACAGCGTGCTGCGTGAATATGCACAAGGTCGATAATAATTATTAAATAAAAATACACATTTAGGAACTAAAATGCACAGATGCTACTGTGTTTTTGGTATAACTGTAATACATAAATAGAAAAGTATTGTTATTTTAGGTCTGGATTTCTGCATTTTCTTGTAATTTGTTTGCAATACGTTTGTTTTTCTCACAATCATAAAAAATAAAGAAAAATAAAATAGCAAAAAAGAAATAAACGGACCCAAAATTCACAATAAACCTTTTACGTTTAAAAGACACCCAACTGAATAACCAAATAGCCTATTTTACAGCCGTTTAAAAGCCTGATTAACAGAGATTATCGTAATAAAAATAAATAAACATCATCCAGCGAAAATCGTTTTCTAATTAAACCTTTTATTTGTTAATTTTCTGACCAGTTCAGTGAAAAATAAGTTAATTGTCGCTTCGAACAGCCTGTAGGGTTCACTTTGGTTTCTTCTAGGAGGTAAAATTCAATTTAAATCTGTTAAACGGGCAGCAGGCGGCTGCTAACATGGTCACGTCGAGCCCTAGGACGATTTTGAAGCTCATTCCTCGAAAAATTGTAAAAATTGCATTTAATGGTAAAAATAGTTTAGATACCCTTGTAGTGCTGGGTTTGCTGATTAATTTGAAGGGAATTATTACTATTTCTTCTGTAGTGTGAGGGTTGTTTTGGGCCTATTGGGGAACAACGTCACAGGGGGGTTTAAAGGGTTAAATGGGCATTTCAACGTTAATTAGCATAAATACCCGGATAAGAAGAAAAACAATAACACGTATGACGGCGGGGTTTAGATAATAATCAGATTTAACACGATTAAAAAGAAACAAATCGCGTTAAATACCTTTGTTGTCCTCAACGTAATCTCGAATTTTCTTATTCTGGCCACTCGCAAAGCATGCTGGGAAAATAACACGGTACAAAGCTGCCCCCTGCTGGACAAACTGTTAAGTGCAAGTGGACAACAGAAACGTGTTTTTATCGCGTTTTACCGTCAGAGATGTTAACGTTTCACTAAAAGCTCTTTTATGTTTTAGTGAAAGATCTGCAACAAAAATGTTCTGCAACCCAAAATAAGCTGATGTTGTGTTTGGTTTAACACAGTTTGTTTGAAAATACATGAAGCAGTCATCCATGACTTATTTAAAATAATTCAATTCAATTCAATTCAAGTGTATTTATAAAGCGCCAAATCACGACAAGAGTCGTCTCAAGGCACTTCACATAATAAACATTCCAATTCAGGACAGTTCATTAAGCCAATCAGAAAAAGGTTTCCTATATAAGGAACCCAGCAAATTGCATCAAGTCACTGACTAGTGTAGTGACTATACAGCAATCCTCATATTAAGCAAGCATGCAGCGACAGTGGAGAGGAAAACTCCCTTTTAACAGGAAGAAACCTCCAGAGAATCCTGGCTCAGTAAAAGCAGCCATCCTCCACGACTCACTGGTGATGGAGAAGACAGAGCAGACACACACACACACACACACACACACACACACACACACACACACACACACACACACACACACACACACACACACACACACACACACACACACACACAATAATGTGTCTAGAAAGTCATCAGATGCAATGAATGAAGAAAATTTACAATTTAAACAAAAATAAAATCAACAGGGAGAAAAGTTTCCATAAACTGAATACAAATTTTGAAATGCATGACAGATAAAGCCTTTATTATTATTATTATTATTACTATTATTTATTATTGTTATTATTATTATTATTATTATATTTTTTTATTAGGAACACAACACTAAACATTTTTCTTCCTTCAGATTGATGCTTTTATGTTTCTTCTTCCATAAAATCACATTATTTTTGTAGAGGAATCAAACAACTAAAACCAACAATGAAGCGTCTAAAAACTGCTTTTAAACTATTTAGATAATTTGACAACAACCAAAGCTGACTGTTCTTGTTTGTGATTATTATTGTAAACAATAATTCTGGGTGAGTTTCATAGACTCAGCGTGTTATTGAGTCTCTCTGAGAACTCCACACTCCCATCTTTGCTGTTTTCCTGTGTGTTTGCTCCTTTTAAACGTCTCTGTCTCCGGTCTCTAAAGCCACCATTGTGTTTATTTATTTATTTATATTTTTATTTGCCTGAGATTTTGCACTGAAAACATTGAGAGCAGAGCTGAGCCTCTGCGTGGATTTAAAAACACGAAAAGACGGTCTTAAATATAAAATACAGACCTGAAATACAAAATGTACACATAAAGTCTGTTGATTAAACATCACATCATTCATTTATTCCATTGCTGACATGTTTGCTGGTTTAAGATCCAAGATTGTGGCTGTTTTCATTCGTTTCCTGTGAGAAAGATGGAGAAGCGGTTCTTGTGGAGATACGCCAGCGCCCCCTAGGGGCAGACGCTGTTATTGTTAAATGAACGTGCAGGAACATCCCTCTCTTCTTCTCCCCTGATAGGCACGTAAATCATTTCTAATTCTTGTTCAGCTGTAAACAGCCATGCAGAAATACTGCTCAGTTTTATTTTAAAATATGCAACAAAAAAAGTTGGATTTTGCAGTTTGGGGTCATAGAGATCAGCTGTTCTGCATTGTAATGTTCTAATTAGTACATTATGTAGTTTGTCCTAACTTTATACAATAAAACACACATCTGCCTTTTTAAAGTCTTGGATAAAACGATTTATTTGTCCTTTAAGCTCTTAAATTTGGTCGTCAGCCATATTAAACTGCCACTAATGCAGAGTTGGAATAATTATCAGAGTGTTGTCTGAATTCTAATGCAGTTCTGCGTTAAACACACCAAATGTTTATTTTTCCTGCCTTCTTTCACAGTCTGTGCAAGCAGCCAAATTAATAACGAGCAGAGCATTGTGCGCCTTTCTTCACTAGAGAGAAACAGACTGAAGCGGGTCTGGGAGCTCTCTGCAGGATGAGCAGGGCTCCTGCATAATCCTCCTGCTGCTGCCCCTGCTGACTGGAGGCAAAGATGAGCTCCAGTGTTGTCTGAGATCCACTCCCCTCCCTCACACCCACCCAGGGTTTAATATCACAAACAGCAGGTGACGAACCACAAAAGGAGAGCTGAGAGGTCTCACCTGGGCCCTACCTGCAGCTGTGCTTCACAGAACCTCTCCACCTGGTCCAGTGAAATCTGATGAAAATGCAAGATGAAGTTGTGCAGGACACACGCTGAGCTGGCTGGTTCCCATCATAAAGAAATATTAGAAGGTCGTAATCCCACACAGGAGGCCAGAAAACAATCGATAATCATGAATTTTTAAAACCTTTGGTCCTTTTGCTTTGCTGGGCTGCAGAACTCCAGCGGTGTGCTTCTGTTTGCTCCTTCACTGTCAATTAAATCAAATTAAAAACAAGAAATTAGGGTTTGAGCTGTCTTCTTTACTCTTTATAGCTGGTTTATTATTATTCATGTAAACATTCACAGCTGATTTACATGAGAATACATCAAAATAGCTCAACCATAAAGATGCAAGTTGTAATCGCTGGACCAAAGTGAATAAAATAAAACAACCAGAAAAAAAGCTCGTTAGCGTTTCTCGTAAACTTTGGTTTTGGTTTTTGAATTTAAACTTGAAATAGTTGATGAAAAAGCACAAAAAAACTTAATATGGAAGAAGAAAGTCCATTTCCTTTTTTTTTCTGCAGCAGAAAGAGGAGCTCAAAACCCGTTTTTATCCTTCAAAATAAGAGCCTCATACATGCAAACATACCTCAAAACATCTTAAGTTTATACAATTGTTTATCGCCATTGTTGTATGATAAAATTCAAACAGGATCAATGATGATAATCTAGATTATTTTAGATGTTTTCAGGCACGTGTACATGTTCAAGACTCTTATTGTGAAATATCTAAATAACTGCCATAACATCATGTTTGATGACTACTGAACAACACAGCTGACCCATTTTACTGGACTCTTTCTCTTCTTCGGGGAAATCATATTCTGATTTTCTTGTTCCTGGAAACAGGATGTTGACTTTTTCCAAATTTCAAAGTTTTCTTCAACATTTCAATAATTCTGGAAAAAAACTGATTTTTTTCTCCACACTTTTGTTTTTCTTGACAGTTCGAGTTTATCCTAGAAATAGTATTTCCACTTTGGAAAAAACGTTTAGACCTTCTTTCCCAACATTTGAACTTTTGGGAATTCTATTACTTTCCTCTCAATATTAACCTTTTAAAACTTTATTTAGGAATATTTTTACTTTTCCACCAGTGTTTTGAATTTAATTTGGATATCGTATTAAACCATTTTTCCTTGTTTGTTTTCTTAATGCTCCTTAGCACCTCCATTGCAAATCGTACATAAAATAAAAAATGTTTTATTGTTAGACTGAAAACAAGTTTTAACTGAAGAGCTAAAATGAATTTTTATTTTATTTTATTTTATTTTGCATCGCGGGTCTGGGATCAGAGCCAGCCAGCAGACGGCAGAAGAAAGGAGGAAGTACAAACATCAGCATTATCTCTACGACAGAGGAGAGAGGGTGGCACTCTCTCTCTTTCACTCACACACACACACATACACACACACTCCCTCTCTCTCTCTCTCACTCACACACACAGACACACACACACACACACACTTTCTCTCTCTCTCTCTCACTCACACACACAGACACAGAAACTCCGGACAGCAGCGCTGTGGACGCAGAAGCGCGGCTCGACTCGACAGGTTTGTAAAACCATCTTCCTCCTTGACTTGCTGCTAAAATCCAGCCTCATCTTTTGCGTTTCTGCGCTAAAACGTTGAGGACTGGCGCTGTTTGGGCTGCTCATGCCACTGAGAACGTCCGTTTGTTGCATTTCCTGTCGAGTTTCCTCCCGCAGCTTTAATCTCCCGGCCGTCGTTACTTTGTGAAGTGGCCTTTCGGCGCCGTTTCCTTTGATTAGGGGACGTGCGTTTCTGACGAACGCATCGCTGTTTTCACCACACACGCACGCACGCACGCACGCGCACAGAGGCGTTTCAACTGCGATGAATGAATCAAAGTGCTTCTGTCTCTCTTGTCTTTGCGCAAAATGAGTTGTTTTCTGAAGCAAGTGCGCACCAGAGCTCTGGAAGTTGCGTGTTTGCGGCAGAAACGCACTCGGGAAGCTGCGTGCGGGCTGCTGTTGAGTTAAACGCTGCAACTCTCCAGCCCATCACGCTGCACCGAGGGCCTGCTGTTAAGAGACCAGAGCAACTGCTGCACACAAAACTCCTTGAATTCATCGTTTCATTTGTCTAACGCACGGCCACGTCTGCATGCAAGTTCCCATAAGCTGTAACTTCTGCTTATCCACGTTATATTGTTGCGTTTTTGCTGCAGCTCAGCTCAGATTTCAGTTTCTGCCGTTTTTAAAGCCTCCTGATTGGGTGAAATGTCGTGCAGGTGACGAGTTTCACATTGTTTTGCATCTTTTAAGCTCATCTTTAAGACAAACATGTTTGTTTTTGTCACAATAAGCTTTATTTAAAATGATCTGAATCATGAATCTGCTGGTGAAAATGTCCAAACTGAGTTATTTTATTGCTGAATTTTTTTTTGTTTTTCCTATTTTTGTTTAGGCATTTGTGACTGACGCAGCAATGTTGTGCATCATGTGCATTAAAAATCCCTGTCTGCTCCACCCAACATGACTAGTTGGCTTGATTAGGAAGGGAATAAACCTGCAGGAGGGGTGACATTAGCTGTGTTTGGTACACGGTGTGCCTCCACACTCTCCTCTTCACGTTCACTTTCTAATTTCTGGGCCCTTCTGCTCATCTGTGACGGTAGACGCTCCTGCTGTGATGCGGCCTTTTGCATGTTACAGAGGATTAAATGAACTCATCAATAAATAGGCGCAGCGTAAAAGGGAAGCACAGGGATGATCATCAAGGATTCTTTTCCATGTCATGTCGTAAATTGTTCATTTGTGAACAATTAATGAAAATAAAGTTTTGTTTGACTTGA